GGGGGGGGGGAAAGGCACAGTACGTAATAGTACCGCCGCTTTGTTTGCTAGAAGAAAGGGCTTCGGTTGCTGTCATGTCCCGTTTTTTTCGACAGCGAGCTTCGGAGCTCGCGGCGTCTGTCACCGAGGATAGCTGGAGCCTTTTACCGCGTCTTGCGTCGTCGCCTTTCTTTGATCCGTTCTGTTTTTTTTTTATGATCGCTGCCTCACTCTCTCTCTCTCTTCCTCTTCCTCCTACTCTTCCTCCCTCCCTCCCTCCCTCTCTCTCGATGCAAACGCGAACGGTTTCATGCCCCCTACGACAGGACTACCCAGCGGACCCTCTCCTACACGCGTGCATCGTGTGCGCTTCCGTTAGCTGCCCGGACGTCGCCCTGACCGCCTACAAGCCCGAGACCCTGCAGGCGGACATGGAGGCCAACATGAGACTCTTCCTGGCCAACCCCAAGAAGGGTCTATCGCTCGACAAGGCCAAGAGAGTCATCAAACTTTCCAAGGTGAACTGCCGGTCCCGCCGTGAACACTGCCCACGACTTCACCAAAACCGTGACTGGGAGAAGTTCCGTGGGAGTTTTGTACATCATACGAGAGCTAATATATGTACGCACCGGGGCCAACCAGATGTACTAGCATATTGTTGTTTTTGTTCATTTGCTCGGCTTTCGGGGTATTCGTGGCGTCCGTGCCGTGTTTTTTGTTCATTTGCTCGGCTTTTGGGGTATTCGTGGCGTCCGTGCATGTGTCGCAGTCTATGCAAGAAAGAAGTCCCAATATATCAGCTGCTTGCTGCATTGATCTCGAGAACCCGCTAGCCTGCCAGGCGGCTAGACACCGTTCTCTTCTTGTAGGAGAGCCTCCTTTCTTCGTTTTTCTGCTGCACGCCCCGTATGCTTTGACTTAAACTCTTTTTATTTTTTTCCTTTGTTTATAGATATTCCAGTGGTTCGAGGGTGACTTTACCACCAAGATAGGAAAGGACTCTGTCCTCGACGCCCTGCTGCCCTACATGCCGGAAGACGTCCGCACGTACGTGAGCGAGAACAAGGGCAGCTTGAAAGTGGACCACTTCGAGTACGACTGGGGCATCAATGGCCCTTCTCCTGGCGCGCCTGGGAAGGGTGGAAAATGCTGATTTTGGCCGTTGTTTCTCTCGAGCAACGGACAAAAGAGGGTTTTCTCTTGTTCCGCCGCCCTTAAGTGCTCCCTGGCCGCCTGGCTCTTATCCTTCACGGGAGCCTGGAGTATGTCCCATGCATAGCGGCTGGGACTACCCCACGTACAGTGATGTAGGACCTGGTCCGCACCGGGACATAGCGATACTGCGCGGCACGCCCGCGCCCCTGCGAATCCAACTTACAGTAACGTCTGGTGAGTGTGCAGCGTCAGGGCTTGAGGGGGTAGGGGTGGGGTTCCTAGAGGGGTCTTCGAGCCAGCAAAGGCCGGCCAAGCCTCTTCTCGGCGGGTTGCTATCCTGTTCGTGCGTTTTGACGTAAGCGCCTTTCTTAGTCTGTCAGTGTTTGAGTGCGCTTGCTCCCAGTGCCGTGCTCCACGGGCGCGCGCAAGGTAGCTCGGGGGGGGGGGGGGGGGGGGG